TCGAGCACCCCAGGCACTCCCGGAGCTCGCCCACCAGCGTCGTCCCTTGCTGCTTCGCCGTGGTCCTCAGCAGCACCTCGTGGGAGTGGCCGTGCGCGCAGTGGAAATCGTTTATGTCAACGGGGGCGCTGGACGCTTTCGCGTTGCCAGGAGCATTTGCGGCATAGGCATGTTCGGTGTGTGTGCGGAAACCGTTCTGGACGTACATGTTACCGCATCGGGGGAAGTACATCGACTCCCCCCTCCCGCTCTCCAATTCCAACTCGTTTTTATTGAGCGTTTTGGTTTCGAACCCATCGTCGAAGAGGGAAGTGAGAGATACTAGGTTGTAGTCTAGTCGGGGGACGTGTGCAACCCGTTTCAACAACAGGTCGGTTGTACCGTCGCGCGAGCTAAGGGTTACCGTCACGTCGCCATACCCTACGATAGGGAAGGTTTCTCCGGTGGCGACGCGCACACGTCGATCACCCTCCTGCTAACGAACGAACCCATCTGAGTTCGCGAACATGTGGGTGGTAGCGCCGGTATCGGCAACATACCTACCCCGCCTAGCCTGCTCTACACCCCCTCGACCAACGACTTTGTGACACTCGCCTGAGATGCCACCGACCACCAGCGCCTCTTCTGCCACGTCTAGTGCTGTGGCGTTCGCAGAGGCCCCCCCCGCCGGCGCTTCCACCACGAGCACCGCCCCCTCTGTCGGGCACTTTCTCTTGTCGTGCCCGTAGCCCTTGCATGTCTCACATCGCACGGGCTTGCTCTCGGGGCAGTTGGCCACCTGGTGGCCCTTCTTACCGCACCGGAAACAGCGACCGCGCATGCTACCCGCATCGTCGTCGCCGCCTCCGCTGCCGCCTCCAGCCTTCGCGCCACCCCCTCTCCCCTTCTGGTTGCCGCCGCCGCCGCCGCCACCCTTGCGGCGGCCGCCGTTGCCGCAGCCCGGCGCTCCCCCCCCACCGCTACGGTCGCTCGCGGNTCGCGTAGGCGTGAGTACAGCAGCTCGAGAGAGTACAGGTGCTCGATGGGTTTCTGCTGCTGTGTGTGGGGGTCGTGAAGTTGAACATTTGCTTCATGAGGGCTTGTTTCGAGCCCTGCGATTCCGGATCGTAGATTTTGTCGAGTTCCGCGAGGATCTCTTTTGCGGTCTCGCATTTGTTCACGATCGCCTTGTCGGTTTCTCTGACGATGGCAATGGCCACACAATGGAACGCTTGGAGGCCCCTCTGGACCTCGTCGCTGGTATAATGGAGGCGGTACAGCTCCGAGCTTGGCACGTTTGGGTTGCCGACAGGTGCATGTCTCTCGTTGTTGCCGATCGATTGGCCGTCCAGTCCTACAGTCTTGGCCGCTTGGATAAGCGACTTTCTCAACGAGTCATACCCATGGCTGCGACTCTCCCCTTTGAGACGTGGNCCTCGAATCACGGGTATCTCACCTGGGGGGTTTAACCCCCTCGCTTCCCCGTAGTCCGGTCCTATGCCCGGGCCCACTCCGGCTGGTCCAACAGAGTTCGCTCCTTATCTGCTGGCCCAGTCGCCTTTCAGCAACTGCCGTGGTCCTTGCCCACCATCTTNAGTCTTGGCCGCTTGGATAAGCGACTTTCTCAACGAGTCATACCCATGGCTGCGACTCTCCCCTTTGAGACGTGGGCCATTGGCTGTTACTCTCTTCATGTGTCTACTGCTGTAGCCGTCGAGGAATTCCCCATTTCCTCGAATCACGGGTACCTCACCTGGGGGGGTTAACCCCCTCGCTTCCCCGTAGTCCGGTCCTATGCCCGGGCCCACTCCGGCTGGTCCAACAGAGTTCGCTCCTTATCTGCTGGCCCAGTCGCCTTTCAGCAACTGCCGTGGTCCTTGCCCACCATCTTTCGCTTGCTGCTGGAGAAATCCCCCGCCACCGCCGAGCGGCAGCGTTGGCACTTGATGGCCTCCCGTGGGGGCTACCCAGCCGCCACTACTGGCTGCATCCGCCACGATGCTTCCAGGCTCCTTCTTCTTCACCGACTCCTCCACCAGGGCCGCCGATTGCGAAACCAAACCTGCAGTTGCAAACTTGCAAGCTCCGCATCGCTGCCCTCCTGCACCGGCGGGCGGACCTGTTCTCCACTCGCAGCAGTGCGCTCTTCGTCTCCAGCAGAGCTCACCCCAATGTGGCTTCCCTCGAGGGGCAAAAAAACTCTCCAGAGTGTTTGCGGCCTACGCCACTTATTTGTCGGATGAGACTGTTTCGGTGATGTATTAACTTCACGAGAGGTAGACGGNAGGCTCCTTCTTCTTCACCGACTCCTCCACCAGGGCCGCCGATTGCGAAACCAAACCTGCAGTTGCAAACTTGCAAGCTCCGCATCGCTGCCCTCCTGCACCGGCGGGCGGACCTGTTCTCCACTCGCAGCAGTGCGCTCTTCGTCTCCAGCAGAGCTCACCCCAATGTGGCTTCCCTCGAGGGGCAAAAAAACTCTCCAGAGTGTTTGCGGCCTACGCCACTTATTTGTCGGATGAGACTGTTTCGGTGATGTATTAACTTCACGAGAGGTAGACGGTCGTCCTTCACACGGACGAAAGAGGGAGTGCTCAAAGAGCGGCTCCCACAGCAAGGAGGGGCCCCGTCAATCATCCCGGTGCCCCCAACAAAACGGCAATCTTACCAGTCTGCGTGACACCAAAACATCCAGCACATGTATGTATCCAACACCAATGTTCGCAGACCCACGAACGAAAGTTTGTCATGATAACCTGCGGTTCTCACATACATTTTCACTTAGCAGTCAGGTTTATTGGGTAAATTTTGAATGCACCGGGACAGAGTTTTAGTTTAATTACTGTACGCGGGCGAAGCCCGCCAATACTCGGTGTAACCCATTCATCTGCAGGCCACACGCTTTCAAAATGTTGCACCTTACCCAATGAATCAATGAAGGAAAGGAGACACCAGACCAGAGGTGCCGTCACCGGGGCAGCAAAGAAATCACCGCGCATATATTTTGCAATGCGGGTTGTCAACATACCGACTCGTCGGGATGGATGATTAATGGCGATTGCTTTGGGTGTGGTGTTCACTCCAAAGCACCTACCGATAGGTGGATGGAGTAAATAGAGCGAAAAAGGCAACGCGGAGGTGCCGAGTATCATCACGATTCTTGACGTGTTCTGGCGAGAGGGCGGGCGTGCAGATGATATGAAAGCATGCATGGATCCCTGGGTGTGGGTACTACTGCTGTGCTGCAGTAGCTCGACATTAATAGTCGCGTGTTTGTGAGTGCGTGCGTGTTTGTACGATCTCCCTCTCTCTCCTCGTTGTACCTCTTCTCGCTGGTGCTGCTGCGTGCTCTTCATCGACATTCAGTGTGGACTGACATTCATTGCGAAACTTCGTGCACACAGAGACCAGAGTGGTCTCTGCTGCTGTTGCCGTGTGGTATGCTTCAGTTGCAGCGCCCAGGTTCCCGCCTGATGTGTGTCGGTCTCTGACGTGATTAGTTCGAATGTGGTGCGCGCACGAGAAAAAGCGGCGTAGTTGCCAAAATTACTCGAAAATAGACAAAACGCCAAGGGCAAGGAGGAGGCCAGCCGACAACGAGCCATCAAACGAGGAGACAGCGGGCCCAAAAATAGTCTAGATACGGCACCAATCAACGGGGCGGTAGGGGGGCGGAAGGAAACGGCGCGGCGGGAAGAAAGCAAGCGAGAAGAGACCGACCGCGTGACGTGACATGTTGCGGTCGAATTTCAACGACTAATTTTTCTGTTGCCCTCTCCCCCGTTTGCTGTCGCGTTCAGACTGTCTCTAGGGATATCCCTGTCTCTGTGCGAGTTTGCTTGTGTCCTCGTCTTTGCTTTATTCTGTTTTATTTTGTCTTTTGTTTTGTTTTTTACTGGCACGTACCCCCGCCCCTTCCTTTGGCCGTCGACCTGCCTCCATGTAGTGGGAGGCTACCCCCCCAGGCTGGTGGTGCGGCCGTTCCACTAGTCTAATTATTTATTTTATTTTATTTTATTTGTTTCTGATTATATTTTGTTTTCTTGTATTTTATCGCTCTGCTGACCCTTGGGGTCCATTTTATTTTGGTATACCTTTTCTAGGTACGTTAGCCTGTGACCACGGAAATTGGCCGAGTCAAGTGATGGATTAGTACGGAGAGATTGAGACAGAAGGAGGTACTGGATAGAGAGACCGGGATGGTTTTTAATGTGAAGACAACAACAACAACAACATAATGTATATATTCATATATATACATTTTGTTTTGTATTTGTTTCATTATATTATATGTCCATTAATATATATACAATATAGTCAGATGTATATATATCTACGTTCGCCCGGAACGTGTTGCGCTGCTTATATTCATGTATACTCCAGTACAAAATATATACTCCTGTAAAATATATGTACATATATATACGTTCGCGAGGAACGTTTTCTGCAGCTTCTATTTTTGGCTTTCCTGCTTCACACGACCCTTATCAAAACCACCGAGGCTGTACAGCCCACTGCTGTGAGCTTTGGCAAAGCACAGTAATCTAGCGTACAGCCTCGAAGGTTTCATCGCAAACGGGTCTCTGTGAGGCGAGTACTGATTGACAAAGCGCGTTAGTGTGCTTTTCCAACCAAGTGCGCAGAACTCCTGCTGCTGCATGGGGGTTTGGACGTAAAAGGCGTAATTTCGGGATTCCCAGTTGGGAATCCTTTCCATAATAACTGGCGTTATCTCGGCTTATTCTTTGTATCTGCCCTTTCAAACTTCTTTTTCAGCCCGCCCATATTTTCCATGATCGTACCCCCTTTTCTCTCGGAGTATTTTCTTCTTTGGTTCCTGACTTTGTGTCCCAGTCACTTTCCATTTCCCTCTTCGGCCATGCTCACACCCTTTCCTCTAGGGGTATTTTCCTTGTCGGCTCTTCTTTCTTTTCAGGTGTCTCAACCCATTTCAGCGATGCTCACGCNTTTTCAATTCTCATTTCATCCATGCTCACGCCCTTTCTCTTGGGTGTTTTCTATTTTCGGTGTTTCTCGGCCGTCTTCGATTCTCATTTCAGCCATGCTCACACCCTTTCTCTCGGGTGTTTTTCTATTCCGATGTTTCTCGGCCATCTTCGATTCTCATTTAAGCCGTGCTCACACCCTTCCTCGCGGGTATTTCTCTCTCCCGATGTCTCTCGGTCATTTTCAATTTCGGCCATGCTCGCGCTCTTTCTCGCGGGTATTTTTTCTCTCCCGGTGTATCTCGGTCATGTTCAATTCTCATTTCGGCCGGGATCCCGCCTTTTCTCTCGGGTACTTTCTTTTCGGATTCTATCTCTCCCGATGTTGCCATTTTCAACTTTCGGTTTTCGGCCAGCCTGTGTTCATCTGGCCATGCTCACACCCGCTGCTCTCACGGGATATATTCTTTTCGGGTTTTCTCTCTCCCGATGCTGCCCTTTTCTCAGTTCAAAGCCACGTGGTCGACGCTCCTCACGCTGATAAGCGGTAATACGGCTTTCGGGGGGCACGACAAGCACGTTCGCATCCCCAGGAGATCCAGCGCGTTCTCGCGGAGTTGGAGCGTCTGCTTGCGCTCGACACCTCGCTCGTCGAGGAGAAGGTGTCCGTCCACAATCTCGTCGTCGGACTGGAGACCGCCGTGCGGAGCAACCAAATAGATTCCGGGGCGGTGTGGGTGCACGACAAACTCATGTCGACCACCGAGGAAGGTCAAAAGACCGACCGCGACCAAAAAGTGAAGGAGCTGTCGTCCATCTCCAAGTTCCTCACGGGGCCAAAGCGCGCGGCACCATGCCGCCGATCTCTCTCTCGCCCCACTTCGGCGGGTACGGGGGCGGCGGCTTCGGTGGCGGCGGCTACGGCGGCGGCGGCTACGGCGGCGGGTCCGCCGGACCCGCCGCCGTAGCCGCCGCCGCCGTAGCCGCCGCCACCGAAGCCGCCGCCCCCGTACCCGCCGAAGTGGGGCGAGAGAGAGATCGGCGGCATGGTGCCGCGCGCTTTGGCCCCGTGAGGAACTTGGAGATGGACGACAGCTCCTTCACTTTTTGGTCGCGGTCGGTCTTTTGACCTTCCTCGGTGGTCGACATGAGTTTGTCGTGCACCCACACCGCCCCGGAATCTATTTGGTTGCTCCGCACGGCGGTCTCCAGTCCGACGACGAGATTGTGGACGAACACCTTCTCCTCGACGAGCGAGGTGTCGAGCGCAAGCAGACGCTCCAACTCCGCGAGAACGCGCTGGATCTCCTGGGGATGCGAACGTGCTTGTCGTGCCCCCCGAAAGCCGTATTACCGCTTATCAGCGTGAGGAGCGTCGACCACGTGGCTTTGAACTGAGAAAAGGGCAGCATCGGGAGAGAGAAAACCCGAAAAGAATATATCCCGTGAGAGCAGCGGGTGTGAGCATGGCCAGATGAACACAGGCTGGCCGAAAACCGAAAGTTGAAAATGGCAACATCGGGAGAGATAGAATCCGAAAAGAAAGTACCCGAGAGAAAAGGCGGGATCCCGGCCGAAATGGGAATTGAAAATGACCGAGATACACCGGGAGAGAAAAATACCCGCGAGAAAGAGCGCAAGCATGGCCGAAATTGAAAATGGCCGAGAGACATCGGGAGAGAGAAATACCCGCGAGGAAGGGTGTGAGACGGCTTAAATGAGAATCGAAGATGGCCGAGAAACATCGGAATAGAAAAACACCCGAGAGAAAGGGCGTGAGCATGGATGAAATGAGAATTGAAAACGGCCGAGAAACTTCGGAATAGAAAATACCCGAGAGAAAGGGTGTGAGAAGAAGGGCGTGATCATGGCCGAAATGAGAACGGAAAACGGCCGAGAAACACCGAAAGAGAAGACCCGAGCGAAAGGGCGGGAGCATGGCTGCCATTATCTCCAACCCGATTTTGTCCATCTGACCACCCCTTTTTGTTCACCACAGCCGGTTCGTGGGGAGATTGAACGCGGCCATCTCCCCGCAGCACCACCAGCCGATACCCGCAAAAGAGCCAGCAGCAAAAACACTCCGCAGCAGGCAAAAAAACACCGACCGACAACAACTTGCCGCCCGCCGGCAAGCCACCACAACTGAAATCGACCGCCGAAGAAAGATCCGACGCTGGGATCAACAGTTGCTCTGCAGCGAACGGACACTCGCGGAAAACTTCCTCCGTTCTGCCCTCTCGCCTCTCGCAACTTATCTCTCTCCCTCTCCCGCCTTCTTCACAAGCGAGGGCGACGGCATTATTGGTGCAAGTAAACATGTCGTCGTCGGCGGCGGCGCTGGTGCCACCGCCGAGCAGCACACCGCAGCCTCTGCACGCGCCCCGTCCTAAGATTGGGGAAAGCAGCGTCGAACTCCGGGTGGCGTCAGAACGCGCGATGTTGCGAGACAATCGCACGATGATTGCCGACGCTCGTGGCGGCGGCGGCCACGCGAAGCTGTACCGCTGCTCCGGGGCTATCATCGAGAAGGGCTCGAAGACCACAGGAGGATGCCAGGCTCATGTCAAAGCCAACAAGCGCGCGGACAAGCACTTCTACCAGCGTTTGCTACGACCACCAAAACTGCGCGGGAGGAACGAAGAAACCGAGCGTCAGGGCCATGGCTGCGGAAGGCGCGGTGGTCGTCCGCGTCATTCCCAAGGTCTCTGCTCCTGCGCTCGCGAAGACGCTGAAGGGCGCCCAAGGGGTGTGGACATGGCGACGTGGGCAGCGGGCCGTGTCAAGCGCGGCGTGACCAACGGTCAGGAGGACACGAAGAAGGAGGGAATCCAGCGACTCGCCAGCTTCTTGGACCTGATTGCGACCGACAGCCCAGGGACGATCACAGACTGCAAGGTGGGTGTTGGTGTGTAGATGGCGCTGCTTCGGTGTAGACCCTTGTGCACCGTGCTCTTTTTGTTTTGTGGCGGCGGGTGGCGCGACGGTGGGTGGCGCTCTTGTCGGCGCAAGTTGCACCAATTCAAATGGGTAAATTCATTTTTTTATATTCTTCGGTCTTTCGATACAGAATCAGGAGCGGTATTGTTTGTTGATGCAAACGCTCCGTCGCCGGGTGCGTGCAGCCGTGCACCACGATGTTTACGACCGTAAACACTTTCCGGTTTGTTTGTCTCGCTGGTGCTCGCATGAATGACCCTGCCTGTTGGTTTGATGATCCGGTTACGTAGAGTTGCGGAAAGTTTTGACCCGGATGTTTCGGTCGCGACAAGCTTCGAATAGAATTGGGATCGGATTACACGTTCGTTCTTCACTTCTTCTAGCGGCCCTTTCGTACCCATCGTAGCCACCGTCGCCAGCGCGCTCACGTATGGCTGTGTTTGAAGCCACCGCCGAGCGTGGTGTACCAAAGACTTGTTCGCCGTATGTTCATCTGCGTTGTTTCCCTTCCGTTCTGTCGACGCTCGAGGTGTTGGCAAGGGTGTGCGCTTTCGTTGAATGGTGCTTTAGCCCGCCGGTACAACTTTATGCGGCCCTCTTTTTGTCGGTGCGCGGCGTGTAGTGAACATACTTTTCTGTCATGTTATGTAATGCAAATCCCTTCCACACGTCCGGTCAAGTGTGTGAAATCGGCGTTGTATGAGGCCTCTATTTTGGTTTAATTGAGGTTCATCAAACACTTTTACGAACACACGTTCCTCGACGTGGTTCATGACGCGTGACCAGGCGGCTCTAAAGCATTTTTTTTTGCTTTCCACCCCTCGCGCTTCGTTTCGTTTTTGCAGTGGGATGCACAAGGTCACTTCGAAAAGGCGTTCCTGATGCTCGGGTCAGTCGCCCATTTCGCGGTTCAAGGGGTTCAGCAGGTGTGGCAGTTGACGTACCTACCCTACCTTACGTTTTCCGGGAAGTTTGTGGGGCGTCACAACTTTCTTACCTCCTGTGTTTCTCTGTTGTGGTTTTGAATAGAAGAGTTGAGTAGGTTGCAGTTGAACCCCCGGTGCTCTGACGTTTCTGTCTCTCGTTTCTGTGGGATACACTACCCTGTTTGATGCCCTGCATGCCACCACCACCGAACGCCACAGCGCTTTTTTTTTTTTCATTTTGTTGGAAACGTAGCTCTCTCCGGTGTTTTTAGAGAGCGTACACATACACGTTCTGTCGCTCACGGCCCACACGCCGTCCTAGTGTGTCGAAGATGTGGATGTGGTGGCCATCCTCCTCCCTACCAAATTCGAGCGCGCACCATTTTTTCGTCGCCATCAAAAAATAAATACTTCATTTTCTTTCGCTTCTTCGACCGCGACTAGTCGACGAAGTTCGCGTTGAGACGTGTCGAGATGTACTTGGGTTGATTTGAAACCCCATGTACGCGAACCTTAGCCTTCTCCACCGAAGATCCACCCCCTCCAAGCACCCGAGGCAATGTGTATAGACGTGTTGGAGATGGTGCCGATGCAGCAGCAGACCCCCAATGGAGGCAATGACCAACCCCGGCCATACTATTCCTCCGTGGGTCACCTGCGCTCGCTAGTGTCTCACTGCTGTTTCGAGTAACGCCACATCCGAAGAGAACAACTCGAGAGAAGTTGGCTTGGCGCCCTCTCGCCAACCCCCGTCGACCACGGTAGCCGTGTGGTGGAAGGGGTGCGAGGTCTTAGCGTGTGCCGGTGTTGGTGTCGTTCGCTTCTCGTCGAGTTAAACCTAGTCTATCTGTGCGGGATCAAGGGCCGACACCGTCAAAGCTGAGCACCAGAGAGGTCCATGCGCGAGATGACAGCACTGCAAGTACAGCTACGACACGGGACGTTGCAGTCGTACCGTCTTCGTGTGCATTGGCAGCAAAACGCTTTGCCCACGCCGTGACATCGCCTGAGTTCCCGTGCACCATATGTCTTGGCTTCCAGGAAAGAAAGTGTATCACGGCCGTTTAGGTGGGTTGTCGTGACCAAACCATCAACGAGACGATGTGTGCTTCCACATAACCCGTGCGACGTTCGTCTTGCCACTGCCATCAACTCAGGTTGCCTGCATGGACTTCTGTCACTGCAAGGGCGACTGGGACGGGACGATCGGGGCCATCAGCGTCAAGAGCGCCAACAACAACGTCCTTCAAGTGGCGACGTGCCTCCACCCGAAGGAGACCGCCGACGCCTGCACCTACCTCATGTCCAACGCCCTCAAGAACCCGGAGATGGCAGCTATTCTCAACAAGCCTACACGACCATCATCACCGACAAGCACAAGGGCTCGGAGTCTGCCGTTCCCAGGGTGCTGCAACTCGCATAACACCTGAAGTGCGCGGAACACATTCTGAAGCATGCGGGGACTACCGGACCGGTAAGACGGAACTTCAGGGGTGGCTCCCTCTCGAGTAACTGCAAAACCCTCCCGCCCGGTGCGCGCGCAACTACATCACCCGGGGAGTTGTGTGGGCGGCCAGTACTGTTGTCTTCTGGCCCTTGTCCGCTGTCTTCCCTCCGTCAATCCAAAACAAACCGCTGTCATGCGAGATCTCATGTTAGAATCTAAATAATAACTACTTAGACTACGAATAGCTGCGTAAATATGTATAATATTTTTCGTCTGTTTTTCAATATTCTCGGACTCTGCAGATACTTGTATTTAGCGAACAGCGAAATTGGAAATTGGTGTGTACGGGGTGAAAACGAGCGGCCGCGCAACAAATAAGTGCCTGCAAGTTTTTCACGCTTTTTTCGTAGGAAATCTTTTCGTAGGGAATCCAGGCCGGCTTCGACAGTAGTGGCCAAACCAAAAGACGAACTGATATGGGCCAACTGATATAATGCACCAGGTACAACAATAGATCAAATTGTAGACCCAAAAATTTACGTTTTGCTCGCCCAAGACTACATGAAGCAGGTGTGAAAAAGGCGGACGGATTTAACGCCCCGAGTCCTTCCCCTCGCTCCTCGACAAGCTTTTGCTTAGACATGGGTTGTAGCGAAGGGGGGGGGTCTTTCTGGCGAGCAGGGCTAGACTCACCCTCAAGGGATGACCGAAACCTTCTTGCTGCTGCGCATCCGCCGCGAGGCGTGCGTGTGGTGTTGGAGTTGGGTCGGCACTGAAGGGGTCAGGCGGGAAAATGTAGATGCGCGGGCCCATCTGGCTGTCGGCGTAGGCAGTGATGCCCATCTCATTTTTGTGCGCGGAGGCAGACACCATCAGAAAGGTGGACGGGCACTACACGGCCCTAGGTTTGCTAGAGGGAGCTGTATTGCCTCAGTAACCTGGCTTCGCCATCAACGGAGGAGGGAGCAGGTGGCGACGAGCTGAACTAGGCTGGTTGACCATTCGGCGCGAGAATTTTTATTTTTTTCAGACCAAGAACCTTGAGTGCAATGAGGGAGAAAGCGAGGAACGGACTGGGAAGGACAGCAACGAGAGCGTGTACGGACGGAGCAGGTCGAGTGACGTTTTTCTCGGGCTGACTACAGCGGCGCCGGATGGAGCAGTGGCACCGCAGCATGCGGGCGACATCGACCCGTGTCGCACGGACAAACATTTCTATCTGTGTTGTCAAATTTTTTCGTTTTTTTCCTGACTTTCCGTGTTGGTTTTGTGTATGACATCGTCACCGGTTTTGTAGAGAGACCCGTCAGAGATGGCGTGGCTAACCCGGGTGCATTGGTTTTGTGCCTGATCGTGGAAGACCCCTTCAATGTGGAACGATTCTTAGCTAGTGTCGATATTTTTCACTGCAGTGCCTACACAGACGATCGGGAGAGATTCGGGTGATTGTCAATTGCTGCTATGATGGCTTTGGTTGGTTGTTCTTTTTCACTGTACGGCCGCAGACACACTCTGACAGCACTTCAGACAGCAGCTTTGTGCCCCGCCAGCTGCTTGTTCCATGCCTATCATGGTGTTTTTGTACAGACAGCACTTCAGACAGCAGTATGCTGTAGTCGGCAATCTTCCGTCTTGGTATAGAGTGGGACAGGGAGGGGGTGATGCTACTGTAGTCGAACGGTGGGACGGACGTGCAGATCAGTTTTTGGGCACGCATACGGTGCTGCAGGGATTTTTAGGTGTACCTCTTCGTGCTCTTAACTATGTCGCCGAAAAGATCGTATTTCCGAATGTATGGGCCCACAGAGTATGTGTGTTGGACAAAATTGAGTACGAGGGAAACATAGTGGCGGCCAGAGTAGTGGTTCGTTATTTTGGTTAGACATAAAACAGGTTCGTTATTTTGGTTAGACATAAAACAGACGGCAGCAGCAGAGGCACCGACGGTATGCGGTAGTGAAAACAAAGGACGGGAAAGCAAGCGCCGGCCATACGATTTCTTCGGCATTAGGCCACCACCAGCAACAAGGCCCATAAACAAGGCCCATGAAAGTGAGCCGCGAAGCACCACGAAAAGAAGAGAAAATCCCCCGAGGGAAAACAAGTGAAAGCTCGTTCGAGGTTCAACTTGGGGGAAAGGGCATGTACATGTCGAGGGTTGGCTCACCCGAATACGGCCGCTGGCATGAAGCCCACGCGCCGATGACTACTCTGAGACGACGCGAGCATGAAAAACATGTGCAGTGAATCGACACCACTTCTACACCACGCCTGGAACGCAACGGTAACGGTGGTACTACCTACACCGTCAGCTACGAAAAACCCAACAAAAAAAGCAGAGAGCGCGACCAAAAAAAAGGTGCCAAGAACAACCCAGCAGGAACCAAAGATCCGAAGAAAACCATGAAAACAGTTGTCCCGTCCTCGCCACACGAACCATTGGGCCAGCAATACAGCAACAACTGCTAGCAAATGTATGAAGAACACTAACACTCCGGACGAACACCCAGGCAGGAACGTGCGCACGGCATGCACCTCATACCCCTTCGCACCCCAGAACATGGCAGAATGGGCAGTGACATAAAAGAGAGGAGAATGTTGAGACAGGTACAAGAGGACAGCAAGACCCCCCGAAAAAACGACAAGTTAAGTGAGGAGATGTCGAAATGCTTCCCCCCGTCACCATCCAAAACCAGGCGTCGTACATGCAGCAACCATCGCACAAGGTGCACGCACCGCGCAAGAACCAACTACACAGCCCCCAGTAGCAAGTGCCGGCCACCTCACCAATGGCCAGGCTAGGCTAGGCTAGGTCCACCCCTGCCAGTCTACGTCTCCCCCGAGCCCTGCGGCTGCCCCTGCGAGAGGTTCGCGATGTGGTTGGCGTGGGCGCTGGCCGCGGCCGCCACCGAGGCGGAGGCGGAAGCGGAGGCGCCCTGGGCGTTGGACCTCGCCAGGTGGAGAGCGTAGCTCCGCGAGGTCGTCGCGTACTCGCCGTTGCTCATCTTGCGCCTGGTCTGGCGTTTGGTCTTGCGGCGGCCCGCCTGCCCGTCCACCGGCAGGGGTGGCTTGTGGTTGGGGTTGACGCTGAGGGCGGCCCACACGGGGGGGGTGACGCGGTACCGCTCGTCCGATGCAGCGGCACGGACCTTGTCCAAGCGGTATCCCTCGTCGAGGAGCTCCAAGAGCTTTGCGGGCTGGTGTCGGGCTGCGAGGTTGAGGGAGGCCACGCGAGCGAACGGGAGTGGAAAGAAGAGCGCAAGGTCATATCAGCATCCATGCGATGTCATGGCCGTACACGGCAAAAGAGGATCGAGTTTTGTGTAGAACCAGCGAGGTGGGCTGCATGCTCCGCCCGCCCAAGAAAAGTGGGATTTCATGTGCACTAATATGGGCATGGGCGTCCAAGCGTGATTGGACACTGTGTACCATATCGGATCCGTGTTTCGTTCTGCCCATCCCCCCTCGAAAATGAAAGCAGCCCTATGCATGAGATGTCCAAACCTCATCAGTGGCAAACGCGTGGTGCGTACGAACAACGTACCAGCAAGAATGATATCGTGCGCGCACCTTTCGCCACGGCGACGACGTGGCGGCAAGGGATGCGCCACCTTTTGCAGAAGCCGCACGTGCACGTGTAGTGGTGTTTCGTGGGGTCGTCCTCATCGAAGGTGAGCTCCACGCGGTTGTAGTGGCGGCGGTTGCCGCTCGGGAACACGACAAACGTGTCTCCTCCAACATTGCTGACGTCGCACCTGAGGAACAAGGCGGAAAGCGAGGGAGTGGGAGGGAGCGAACGGAAGGCACATGGGGAGGATGTACTCAGGCCCGTTGGTATCGAGCTCCTTTTTTCTCGGTGTTCCTGGAAAAATAAAAATCAGGATAGCGTGTGAACTCCCCCTGCACAGCCGTGCGGCCACGGAAGAGGGTGGATACAGCAGCCGAGGATGGGACACCGGGACAGGCAACAAGAACGCGGCGGCAGTTTCCCATGATTTTCCAACGATTCGCGAACAACTTAATGTGACTGATCCTAGAAAAAGAACGCGTCGACAGGGGCCTCAGTGGAAAACTGCGGGTGATGTTACCTCGTCGCGTAGACATCACACGCACTCCAGATGGGGAAAGCCCCAACACTTAACACAAGGCACTACACGCGCTGGGTGCACAGATCGGCGGAGTACTAGTGGTGACGCCCTTACGTTTTCGCCCACTCCATCTCGGCGTGAAGCACTTTCACCGCGTGTGGGGTGTGCACGGCGGCCGGGTTGTTGATCTGGATGTTCGCCTGGCTCGCGAGCTTGTCGAGGCCCTGAAAGGCGGTGTCCATCAAGAAATCCAGCGGCGCCTTCGACCGTGTCTGCGACACGAGCGGAAGCACGCGAAGACATGGCAGGGGTGGTAAGACACACTGAAGCTCGCATGATGGGCATCTCTCTCGAAGCCTCTCCGGTAAGAGCTGGGACATATTATGCCGGGAAACTCAAGTGGGGGGCAGCCACACGACCGCAGTCCACGACAAACATACTGCGGGTGATGGAGNAATGGTGGGACGGGCAGTTGGAAGTCATGACGCAACTTAAAAGGCCCAACTTTAATGACGGAACTAAAAACAAAGGCACAACAAACGTACATCCGGTCCCATCATGTTGTTGGCCGTCTCCGACATGTTGGACGTGACCTGGTCTTGGACGACGTTGCCGCGGGTAGCGTACATCGCCCACTCGTGGCGGGTTTGCAGGCGGATGTACTTCCCGGCAGCTGGGTCGAGGGCCGCGATCTTGTCGATGTTGACCTCGCACGTTGCCTTGTCTGTCGCCCGTGCCGCCTCGTACATGCACACGCGGCCTTGCTGCGCAGAGACGAAGGGTCAGCAAGTATGGGACAGAACGTAAGGGCCAGCAACTTGGTACATGGTTTGGCCGTTCTCCCATCAACACCAACCTACAGCGCCAATGCCGGACCAACCTGCAGCACCAACAAGAGCAGGCGGAAGAACACACGCAAAGACGCCGCGGCACGCTTTCTTCGTCCTGTTTCAAGGTGCCGTGACGCTTGATTGTCCTGTTATTATCAATACACCGCTCCGCCCGACGATCACGGCCGTCGTCATTCATAAATAACATGGTAGCAGACACGAATGAATCTATCGAATGAATCTTTCGAATGAATCCATCGAGTGAATCCATCCATTACTGTATGTAGATAGTATGTAGATAGCACATCGGGCAGTGCGGTGTGGAAAGTGGCACCAGCACAAAAGTTCAGACAGAGTTAGACGGAACCATCGTGACCACCATTCCACATCATCCTGGTCGCTCTGCTCGTGTTTCCCTGCAGGCGAGTCACGTTTGTTTGCTTCCCTCGTCCCCCGCGGGCGCCCAATTACGGTCTGGCGAAATACATCATAGAAACCATATGCATACGAAAACTTGGCACATCGCGTTGGGAAGCCGA